TGTTGGTAGTGTTTTTGACGGTAGAATTCTAACAGGATTGAGGTGGAATCTTAGTGTGGTTTTGATCTGCATTTCCTTTATGGCCAGGGATGGTTAGCATTTTTTATGTGTTTTTGTCCATTTGTACTTCTTCCTTTGAAAAAGTTCTGTTTAGTTCAGTTGCTCACTTACTTATTGAGCAACTGATTTTGGGGGAGTTTAGTTTTTTGAGCTCCATGTATATTTTGGTTATCAGTCCCTTGTCTAATGTATAGCTAGCAAAGATTTTCTCCAATTCTGCTAGACATCTCTTCAATTTAGAGACCATTTGTTTTTCAGATTTCCTCTTCTTATAAATACACTAGTCAGAATGGATTAGGGTCCACCCTAAGAGCTCCATTTTAATTTAAGTGCTTTTTAAAGCTCCTACCCAAATATAGTCACATTCCAAGGTACTGGAAATACAGCTTCAAGATATAAATTTGAAATAGGCACAATTCAACCCCTAACACCAAAATAAAAAATTTAAAGATAAATCATAAAATATTTATAATAAAATATTTTAAAACAAAATAAATACATAAAATTCATAACTTCATGAGCTGAATTTTAAGATATGAATTGTTTCTTTCCCTGTATCTTAAACTTGTCTCTTATTTTCACATTTTCACAGAACTCTTCACTCAGTGTGTAGCCCTAGGAGTGATATAGTGAGTTTCTGAGATCTTAGAGACTAAAGTGTATGATAAAGGGAAACAAAATCTTGTTGTGAGCCCCTCATTAACCCAGGAATTAAAACACTACCTATTTTTAAAGGAAATATTTATCCTAAAAATATATGCTCCACTTTCAAAATTATGCACAAACTGGGAAATCAAAATGAAATCAGGAAAACTTGTAATTGGTTAACTGTTTTTGTCCATTTCTACCTCAGTGGGGATCATCTGAGGAGGGCTCAGTGCTTGATTTTCCTGTCCTATGTGGCAGGATTTATCTGAAATCATTGAGAAAATGCACCCCCCCCCAGACTTTACATGAATCTGGTAAGATAATACATTAGATTCAAATACAGGTCCTGACAACCCGAATGAATATAGTCAAATAAGATGATTAAATTTAATAGGGATAAATGTATTATACACAAGGGTTGCAAAATGCTTTTTGGAAAAAAATAAGTACAGAAAAATCTGACTTTGTAAGAACACACATTAACACTTTAATTGATAATAAAGCCACCAAGGATCAATAATATGCTTATTGAAAGTTAATACATTTTAGGCTGTACCAAGAACATTACAACCATTCATAAGAAAAATAATGATCCCATTTCAGTCAAGGCTGTTCGGGTTTCATGTAGAACATTTTGTTTCTAGGGTACACTTTAAAGTAAAATGCTAGAAGTAGTGAATATATTTAATTCTATGCAAATTAAGAAAATAATAAAACTGAGAAATATTAGAATAAAATGAGAATGAAGAGAGACATAGCTTGTCTTCAAATATCTAGAAGGCTGTCATTTGGAGAGGCTTTAGGCTTATCCCTTATGACTCCAAGTGGGAAGAGTCAGTTGGGCTGGCTAATACCTCCTCATCCTTCAGGGAATAGACTGAGGATTCCCAGCCACTGGCTCTGGCTTCCAGCTTCATTCTACTCTGAGACAACAGCCCTGTTTCTGATTGTTTGTAAAATGATTTAGCCATGTGCCTTAGTCCACTTGAGCTGCTATAGCAAAATCATATAGACTAAGCAGCTTATAATCAATGGAAATTTATTTTTTATGGTTCTGAAGGCTAGAAGTCCAAGATCAAGTCTCTGGTAGACTGGTAGACATGAAATGGGGTGAGGGCCCACTTCTTATTCATATGTGGTGTCTTCTCACTCTAACCTTACACAGCAAAAGGGTGAGGGCTCTTACGAGCAAGTCTTTTATAATGACACTAATCCCAATCATGAGGCCTCTGTTCTCATGACCTAAGCCCCTCCCAAAGATTCATCCTCCAAATACTACCCTCTTTATGAAAATATCACAAGGAAACCTCTTCGTACAATTAAGATACACTATAAAAAAGAATTTTAAAAGAGAAATAACATCCTTTTGGGAGTTAGGATTTCAACATATCACTTTAGGACAGACACAAACATTCAGACCACAGCACCCTGCTAGATTGGAAGTGCTAGATCGTCTGGTACTCCTGACAGGGTGGACCATGTCTGATTTGTTAGCTGTAAAGTATTCATGCTTAGCACAGCTGAAGGAATGAAAGAATGCATGAGAAATGGATTTGGGCTTAACATAACTCATATTTCTAACAGAGTGGTACAGAGATTCCTGGGCTGCTTCAACAAATCACAACTGTCCTTTCATGGAAGGCCCTTACTCAGGCATAAATGGCAGTGAGATTGAGAGGATTTAAGTGACTGGTCTAAATGATTTTTAGCTTTTTTTTTGTCAAATGTGGACCTATTATTTGAACTCTGCAGGAAAGGTTATGCTTATTATAACATAGATTTCATTTTAAAACACTGGCTCAATTCTGATCCATTTTGGAAAATTTAGCACACGTATTTCTACATAATTGCTTCTGCTCATACCCAAATTCCATTTGATGTTTCTCTCCATCTTTTCTTTCTCCTCTTCTTAGTCCCTAAAGCTGATGAATAAGATTTCCATTTTATTGTAAGAATATATCAAGTTTCAGAAACAGAGTAGAAAACAGTGAGGTGAGGTCATACTCAAAGAAGAGAAAACTGTTTCTGAGATTCTTAGCATCAACTGTGCCAAAAGAAAATGCAGATTTGATAAATGACACAAAGTCATTACCTCTCCATCTCCCTTTTTGCTGATTTGATTTTTACAAGAGCCCAATTTTCCACAGAAACAGATCAGACTTAGAGCAAATACAAAGATTGCATCTTTTATTTATAAGGCAAAAAACTACTCAAATACTTTTCATTAAAATTGTGTGCCCTGTGGTACTGGCTTTCAGATTATTAGTCAAACATTGAGTAACTTTTGTTACCCCTATGGGAATTAATAAGCAAAGACCTTGAAGGTTGATATCAAAAGTTACTGAGACTATTGATTCTGACCTTGAGTAGTTGATTCAGTTTGAAAATGAAGTTTGGGGGTCAAAGTTTTGAAATATAAGAACAATTATGCATGCTGTCTTCCTTCTGGGGGAACATTTTTGTGATGTTATCCTCCAGCCCCAAATTAATTTGTAGACAATTATGGAATTAGGAAAACAGTATGTTATTAATAATAACAACAAAAAAATAGGTAGGGACAGTGCATTACACAGAGTAATCCACTGGGGGGAGCTGGCAAGTGATGTCCCAGAGTGGAGAGTATACTACTAGGCATGCACCCACACACCAGGCAAAGGGGTTGAGAGAACTCCACCCACAAACAAGATCAGGACTGACCCATGTGTGCCAGATGGAGATCATTTCTATGACATTTAAATTTAATGCCTAGTTCCTTCTGAGGACTTAATTCCTTACTGGAGGAATGAAGAAGACAAGGACAGGGTTTTAGAAAGCCTATAAAGAGAGCAGGTGATTATATAATTTTAAAATACTTAATGCTTGTCTTTTGTACCGTGTTATGTTAGCATTTTAAAAAGAGGGAGATGTTTGAGATATATTTCACTAAGCATGTTATGTTACATTTATATTTATACCTTTCTATGTTTTCTACAGCTTTAGCAAATCCTCCCAAACAAAGGAGTAATTCCTCTGTTTACTGTAACTTCAAACATGTCCCTGAGGACAAAAAACATGTGAAAAAGTATGCCTTGCAAAATGAAAATTGCCTAAGTATTCTCTTCAGAGCAGTGCTTCTCAAACTTGAACGTGCAGAGAAACCACCTAGATATCTTGTAAAAACACAAATTTTAATGCAGCAGTCTCAGGAGGGACCTGAGATTCTGCTTTCTTAGAAGCTTCAGGTGATTTGGTTGCTGTTAGTCTGTCTATAGACCTGAAACAGTATGTTTTGGACCATGAAAACCAGCTCTGTCAGGGAACCTGTTCTCTTCACCCTCATTGCCTCTTTTGTTTCCTGCTCTCTTCTCTATTCCACTTGTGAGAAAATTTTTAGGTCCAAGTACAAAAGAAAAGAAAATACTCTAAAATTACACCCTCAAACAGATCAATAATAACTTGTCTCATGGTAAGAAATATTTTTATATGCATGAATTATATAAGCTTCATGGAAATCATTGGAAAAATATATGGTACCATGTCTATTTCTTTCACTAAATGAAACTTTATGATTGCAAAACTTAAAAACTAGTGCTTTTTAATTAGTACACCATACCCTATCTCATTCAAGTATCTCTGCGGTGGTTATCTGTAAGTCAAGTTTTCCAGATAACTGAAGTTTCTCTTTTAAGTTTCCAGAAACATATTTATTTTAGTGACCTTAAATTGAAATCCTTCTGGAATGAACTCACCCAACAAGTGTTTGATATATAAACAATGCCAAATGTATCTATAATTACCCAGGGTTGATAATTATTACTGCATGGCATGAGGTAGCAATGCTGTATCATTACTATTAAAAGCTACTAAGGTCACTGCGTCCTCCTGCACAGTGGGGCCTCAGCATCCTTTCAGGGTTTCTCAGTCTATTTGGAGCAACCTTCTGCCTCCTTCCGCTGTGGTTGGCTGCCACTGCAACGCTGTCTTCTGATTGTTCTTCTCTGACAATTTCTAATCAGCTGCTTTATTCTAGAAAAGAATCTGAAATTAACTTCCTTCTCACTTCTCTTATGTTTGTTTGTCCTGTTTTGCTTTCTTTTCTTGTGGTGCTGAGAATCAAATCCATAGCTTTATGCATAGTAAGCAAGTGCTCCACCACTGAGGTATACCTTATATTCTTGTATTTCTAAAACAAGAGCTCACTCTCAGAATTTGGTTTACTTGTTACTTCAATCAATATAATCATTTCAGATTGAAGAAATCACACAAGTTGATCACTTTTTAAGAATCTCTTACAATGACCATTGAATACTTACTGATCCCGGTGTCCTTACAGTACTGGACCAAGTACTGGCCCATGACTTTCAGTAGACGATTATACTCCTGAACATTGAGAAATTCCTGTTTATTATGGGATGGTTCCATGACCTCCAATGGTATGTTAACAATTCCAACCACGCCTGCACCAAGTCTGAGAAAATAAATACATGAATTTTATAAAATTTGGCTGGAAAAAATAAAAAATATATACTTGTCATTTGTAATCAATTTTTTTTCAAAAATAAATTCATTCTCTTGGTCTAGATCATGTCAAAAGTAATAAGTTATCTTACAATTATATTTCATTGTCATAAATCTATGGTGATCTCTGATATGTTTGGTCCTAATCAGCACCTCATTACTCAATTAATACAACTCTTTTTCCAAATGTATTAGCTTACATGGGAGTCAGGATTGGTGGAAAGGAGGAGTCTTTTAGTGCAAATACTATCAACAGTGCCTTTCTGCAATAAACCAGCATGACCCTCTTAATGATATTGGCCAGAGAGTCTCTTTCATCTGTCAGGGTAGATTTCTCCTCATTGCAGAGGTCTACTGGGTCTCAGTGAATTCTACTAAGGGAACATAAGAGTTTTGTTATCCCCATGGATGACAACAGGTACCTGACTGTTAGTCTGGTGACTACAGGACTTGGGGGTCTTTTTTCACTTCCTTGGTGACAAATGCTGTACATACACCTGGAATATTCTGTTTGCTGATAAGCTGTCTTGAGAAAAAGCATCTAGTGGTCTTACAGTTCAGAAGACCCCATTGTCCTTGCCATGGAACACAAATCATAGCTTCCCAAATTGGGGCTCCTACCTGTCATGTTTTCAACACTTTCTTCTTCCACACTACTTTCCCTTCACTATTCATTCTGCAAGTCTAAATTTGTGCGTCATTCAGACTTGATTTCCCACACTTTGGTTTACTGTCGCTTCCAAATGTTCTTTTTTACACCTGATGCTCACCTCTAACACAGGTTTGATTCACTCATTCATTCAACTCTATACTTGGCATAGGTCTAGAAACTTACAGCGATGGACAAGAAAGACAAGGTTCCTGGTTCTCTTCTACTGAAGGATGATGGAATTAAATTAATACATAGATAAATGTACAAGATCATTTCAGATGGTAACAAGTGGTATGTGAGGGAAATACAGTAGGTACTGTAACGTGTGAATAGTGAGAGCAGGGGGTCAATTATAATTACGCAGTCAAGGAAGGAAGAACTTCCTGTGTAAGGGGCTTTAGACTTTACACCTAAATGACTTGCTAAGAACAGCAGTCAGAAGACCTGAAGACAGAAGGTTTGTGGCAAAGGGAAGAGCAAATGCCAAGCCCTGTAGGCAGGAAGAGATTAAGGGTCTGAAGGGCAGGGAATGCACAGAGTTTGGAGGATGTTCTGAGGAGTGTCAACCCAGAGTCTGAAAGGCTATAGTAAGCAGTCCTAATCTAACTGTTCTGGAATTTTGAAGCAAAAGAATCAACTAATTTGGGTTTTAAAAGATCAATCTTATTTGCACACAGAGTTAAAATGCACATTCACATGCTTGTTCTTTCCCCTGGACTATGTGGTCCTTAGCAAACAATGGCAGTTCTTGACCATTTTGTCTTCAGAGCTCAGTACAGTGTCTGAACCATACTACTACAAAACTGCTTGCTGAATGAACAATGAATGATTGCATGAGAAAGCAAGATAATAAATGTTCCCCTGGCCTGTTCTGCTGGTAGTGGATATCTTGTCTGACTCTGCCTTTTTCTGTCCTGTCTCTTTAGAACTCTACCTAACTGGTAAAAGCAGCTTGAGGACTTTTGAACCTTCGAGAAAGCACCAGAATAGAATGCATTACTCTAGAATGCATTACTCTAGGCCAAATGGCCTGCAGACTTTTACTAACATATGATCGTGCAGGTGAACGACAAGAATGCATGCACAAAATTTTAACAAGCTTGCTTTCCAAGACTGTGGTTTTCTCTTTTCTTTCTCTTCTTAAATTTCTTTAATGTGTTTGTATTATTTTTAAATTAATAAAACATTAAAAACCTGAAGAGAGAGTACAAGGAATGGCAAAACATCAAGTTGTTTAAGAAGTAAACTGAAAAAAAATTTCCAAAAGTGTGCTTTTGCCTTAAAGTAAGCCTATAGATTCAATGACATTATAAATTAGGCAGATTAATGCCAGCACACTGACAGAAAGGGTGAACAGAGAATGTGACACCTGATCCCATTATGATGAATTGTTTGTCTCATCCCATAAACAGAATTTTACTGCAATCTTCCTCTTCCTGCTTGTGTATCTGAAAATCAAACATACTTACAAGGACTTCAGTTTCAACTGTGGGCCCACTTTCTCATGCATTTTGATCAAACGGTTATTACTGTAAATGAACATTCCAGCTTGGCTTTGGTTTTCTATGTTCACTCCAAAAAATAGAGAAAGTGTTCTTGCTTTTCTTAATTCTCTAGGGTTATATTTAGAAGGTATTTAATTTTTTATTATATACAAATATATAGTTTACAAAACCTCTAACAATTAAACACCGAAGGTAAATGTCAAAGGAATAATACATTCAGATATTTTGCAAAACCTGGTTGGTATATCTAATATTTATGTATAGTTAAGTATTCTTCATAAATACAATGCAAATAACTATTCCAGTCAAACTTGATTCAAAAGCAAGTCTGCCAATTTAAATTTGTAAGAAACAAGGAACTCTAAAAGCATTCTGAAAAAATATTAACTGATCTGATACACACATTGCAACATTTTTAAAAATTTCTAGTTTGGTTCTTTAAAAATTTTAGGTATTTCTAACACTGACTGTGATTTCTGACTTTAGAATGTTCTTACGTTTCTGAATATGCTACAGAGATTAGAATGTGCTGAAAGATATTCTTTAGCTTTCTCTCTAACCTTTTCCAAAAATTCAATAAATAAAACTTCAATAAACAAATTCAGTAAATAAAACTAATAAAGCAAGTTGATAAGGGCAACAGATATGAGCTCCTTTTTTCTGTATCTGTCCTTCTATACTACATTTTGTGTGACCTTTCCATTATAAGTGTAAAAACAGAAGTTGAGAACTAGCAGAATGTGAAAGAAACTCTAGTAACAGAAGACTATTGAGTACTGTAAAAAGTATCTGGATCCACATCCAGACTTGGCTTAAAATACAAGCTAACCTTTACAGAACCTGCACAACTATGGATTAACCACTTAAACTTGGCATCTTAACTGAAACATTGGGATAATGTCCACTTAGTCACTTGGGATATACTGAGAACCAAAAGAGATAATTGTAAATATAAACCTAGAATGGGAAATAACAAATGTTATTTTCCTTCCCCAACCAAGAATGACACCAAATAGGATTCTTCTCTTGCATTCACTCTCTTGCTTTCCTCCCTCCATAAACAGGTTTTTTTTTTTTCTTTTTAGGTTCATGACCATACAGTAACAGACTTACTGGCTGATTAAATGCATCTATTATAAAAGGAAAATGGCATAGTTCTATCAGTTAATTTATATGAATATAATATATAAGATGCATTAGATTTTTTGAGGAAGTTACTGACATTTGTTCATATATTTTGCATTTATCTAAGGTAAACTTATATGGACCAAACTTTTCTTCAAAAATCTTTACTCAAATATGAGATTCGAACTCTTCAACAAACAAGAGTAGTGACTATTTAAGGGACCATAAAACAGGAAATTATAAGATATGCCATCATCAGTCTGCATCATCAGAGGCATACTGAATTGAAGAAAAAGTCAGAACAGGTTCTGGGTGGAAGCGAAGGGGGTGGGAGGGAAAGAGAGGGGAAGGGGGGCAGCGGGGGAGAAATGGCCTAAACAGTGTATGCACATATGAATTAACAAATAAAAACAAACAAAATAAAGAGGCATACTGATTACCTCTAAAACTTTTTAGAAAAAAATGGCATTTTGCTATAAAATCAAATTTATGACAATTGGCATTGTTATTAGTAACATATATGTCGTCTACATTTCATATATTACATTATGACTGTAAGTAAGTAAATAAGGTTTTTGTTTCTGAAGATTTCAAAGGCTTTGATTTTCAATTAAAATTTCCTACATTTATTTAAATTATTCTGATAAATTCATAAATAACATTTCTAAATTTTTTTATTTTTATAAATGCATAATTAGCATTTCAAATTTAAATTTTAAGGCAAGTTACAGTTATATGACAGTGCATAGTTCACCAAAAATAAAACTATTCACTAAAGGCTGGAGGCTGTCTCAAGTGACAGAGTACCTGCTGACCAAGTGTAAGGCCCTGAGTCAAACTCCAGTACTATAAAAAACAAAAACTAAAACTAATCATTGTTCCATAAAGAATCGTTTCTCAAAGATATCACAGAACTGGGGGAGTAGCTCAAGAGGCAGAGTACCTGCAGCAAGTATGAGACCCTGTGTTCAAACTCCAGTACCATGGGAGGGGAAAAAAAAGATATCATAGTTTTCAAGACTTACTTGGACAACAGTGATATATACAGCTGTATCTGAGCTGGGGAACAAGTGGACATTGTAAATGTAATTACTGTTTTTTCAAATTTAGTCTTGCTATTTTTGTTTTAATTATATGTAAATAATGCATTGGCTTGAAACATTAGTTCCTGTCTTAAAATTGAAGTTACTAGGCAGAGAAAGAAACTAGCATCAACCCTCTAGAATTCAAATGGCTAAAGACAGAGGGAGAGTGAATTTGTCAGTTGATCACTTTATCCAGATATCTTCATCCAGACTAACCTCCTAACTGTGAACTAATTTCTCACTTTTTTTCAGTTTTATCATTATGTAGACACATAAGTGCACATGGCAATATATATACTTTGCAAACATTTTATATTGCTTATCTTGGTTGAGGAACCTTGACCATATTAATGGTAATATTATAAGCTACCACAAGCTAAACAAGAGAAATTGTCACAACAATTACTAAATCTGCCTACTTAGAAATCAGAATTCGTGACAACACAGCACAGAGGACTCATGCAAACAGAACATCTTACCTCTGTTTTTCTTTAAGATTTTTGTGCTTTGCTTCTACTTCTTCCAAAGCTTTCTGTAATACATCCTGGAGAAGTACATTTAGTTGAGAGAGAACATAAAGCCATTGGATTAATGAAAAGTGAGTTGATATTATCTTATTATCCAGATATTTCAAGGATAACAATGATAGCTCACATTGCCTAACGCAATTTACCATGGTAGATATTCAGTAGATACTTGAGTGAATAAATAAGTTCCAAATGCTACAAAGATAAACCAAATCTTAAACCCACTTTATCTTTTTGAAAATATTTAAATGTCATCTCTTCTTTGGAGAAAAGAATTTTTACTCCCTATAATAGCACAATAGCTTTGACACAAATTACATGAAAACTTGGGCAAGTTAGTCAATGTACCTAGGCTCTGAATTTTGTCTGTGAGAACAGAAAATACTCAATATATGCCATCTTTCAAGAAAAAATATAGTAATTAATAAATTTTGTTAGCAGTCAAAAGAAAATCTTTCCTTCCTATCAAGTTCTGGATACTTCTAAGTACTAGTCCCCAAACTTGACCCCTTATAGGTTATCCAGGCCTTTTCCCTTTCACTGTGAACTCAGTTTATCTTTTTTATCAACATTTTTAATTTGATACTATTTTAAACTTGATACCCTATCTTTAGTATGTGCCCTCTAACTTGTCAGAAAAGGCATAATTCATTTTTACTGTTCTCACAAATGAGAACAGATTTTTAATGAGTTTCATCCACTGACATAAAAGGTAGGCACTCATTTGATGGATACACACTGATGGAATATTATTTTCATTGTCTTTTAAGTAAAGGAAATGAGAAATGGTTGATAAGTGTTTCATTTCAAATTCAACTGCCTGGAAGCATTTAAGAGGACAAAAGTTCAGGTCATTCTGTTTTGCTCTCTTCTTTGCATTTAAGTAACTAGGATACTTCAGAACAACAAAGTAAGCTGGTCAAAGACATGCCTACTCTTCCTGGCAGGGCACTCAGAGCACAGAGCAAAGAAGCAGTGAGAGGAGTAGGGTAAAGCAAGAAGAAAGTAAGGTCTTGACCTATTAGAAGAAACATTTCTCTCATTCTGAAATACAGAAAGCAAAAGGGAATTGGTTTCTTAGAGACAAAATTAAAAAAACTTAAACTATAAAAAAAAATCAATGACAATAGGATAGGTTTACCTTTAACTTGAAAAAATAAAGGAAAAGTAAAAAGTAAGAATTTTGAAAAAGCCATAATTTAGTTTTGCTCTGGGGAATTACCATATGCTACTCTCTAATTTCACCCCCTAATCATGACTGTTAGCTAGAAGAATGTTTGTCAAACACAGCCCCGGTCCTTGAAAGTGTAAGGGCAAATCATTGAAACAAGTCATAATTTAGTCCATGAAAGAAGAAAAGAAAAGCTGAAGGGAAGCATTTTTCTCCATATTCCTACTCATCCCTTTGTATGCAAGCAAATAAATACACTGCTTATGATTCATCATAGTGGAACTCTTTACACCAGATTTTGGTAAAAGTTAGCAAACTTATAATACATATTCTGCAGCAATATTCTTTTGCTCTTACCATAATAATTAATAATAATGGTTCTTTATAACTTGTCTTACTCACCGGCATATTGCAAGGATTATAAGAATGTTTATGAACTGGGGGAAACAACTAATAAGAAAAGAGCTTTGCAAGCTGGAAGCATGTCATTAATATTCATAATCATGGTATATAACTCCTAACACTAGAAAGCAGGATTGCCTGTTAGTCCTCTTCTAGCTTTCCCCATGTATTTGGGTCCATGGAGAGCTATAATTTGAATAGATATTTTCAAGGAGACTTGACAGGATAGATTTTTTTTCTGAGCTTTTCATTATTTTCTCGTTTCCTTATATTATATTCCTTTTTGTTTTAAAGAAATTAGTTTTAATGCTGCTATTCCCCACTGTTTCAAATTCACTGCACGTTTTGTTCATCTTTGCTCAGTCTCAGCCGTCCCCCTCCTTGTGTTTCCTCTCCTTTCTCTGCATTTATCTAGTCAGTTTACCTGTGTTAGAAACAACTTAATCTTCTGAGGTCATTTGTGTTTAAAAGTTTAGGAAGTAAATGATAAGCGACAACAATGCACAGGAAAAAGTGAATGACACTGTTTGTTATTTAAGAAGACTACTCTACATGTCGTACCTTGGCAGAAGACAAAGAAATTGTGTTAGGCTGGTTTACTTTGATTTGAGCTTCTTTTAACATGAATTCAGCTGGAAGCAGAAGTAGAAACAGTAACAATACAGTGAAATTCTTCCAAGCAGTTTTAAATGCATGTTTTCTATACTTATGGACATAACTATTGAGAACAGCATTCAGAACAGAATCTCAGAAAATCTTATGATCCTTTCATAGCTTTTGCATTTTAAAGCTTATTTCTATTAGACTTCCACATAGCATGACAATTTATAGGACTTAAATTGTACATATAAATTCAAAAGTATGAGTCAATCTTTGGCTGACTGGAAATGCTCTAAAGCCTATGAAATAGAATGGCAAAGCTGCACCCACTCCCCAAAGACTGGAAAGGATATCCTTGTTCTTGCTGTGAGAAGAGCCAAAGTATAGAACATCCTTCCTACTGTGAATCAATGCTGGTCTGCACTATGATTATACAGCATCAAAACAACCAGGGTCTCAAACATATGCCAATTAACTCCAGCTATGTCAGGATCACACTTAAAACACTAAATCCTATTATAATAAAGCAACCCCAGATATGGTGAGAATGTGTTACGAAGTTCCATGGAGGTAGAGCTATATTTGATTAATTATGGTGGTGCCCACACACCTGGAAGAGTATGTTTCAGAATAAGTGCTAATGAGCATTTGCTGAGTGAATGAACAACAGTGATGTGAGCCACAGATAATCACATACCAATCTTTACTGCTTCTTCTGCCTTTTTAACATCATTTTTAAATGTTCCTTTAAAAGAAGATGTGACATACAAGTACTTTCTGGGGGAAAAAAGAACATAATCAAGTCAGATTACTGTTTTAAAGTACATAAGAGAACATTCTTTAGTAAGACCATATACTCCAGAGATACATAATTATTAAGAAAGAGTCATTGTGTAAGTTACATCAAGTTGGCAAATTAGCAAACTTTATACCTAAGAAGAAATATCTTGCCTTTTAATACTTGGTAATTTTACTCTTGTAAGGTAACTTCAGAAGTGAGGTAAGAAAATTCTGCCCACACACATGTTCACTTATACATACAAAATGAGATCATTTTCTTTAAAAAAAAAACTTTCACTGCTCCATCATCAAAGTTTCTAGTTAATATGCATAGCCCTCTTAGTCAGATCATCACTGACACTGAATAAACTTCTCTCCCAGTCCCCAAACAATCATCTCTAACTGAAATGCTCAGAAACTCACATTAATGTACCATTTTATTTATTTTTTTTTCATTTTTCTTTTATTATTCATATGTGCATACAAGGCTTGGTTCATTTCTCCCCCCTGCCCCCACCCCCTCCCTTACCACCCACTCCACCCCCTCCCGCTCCCCCCCTCAATACCCAGCAGAAACTATTTTGCCCTTATCTCTAATTTTGTTGTAGAGAGAGTATAAGCAGTAATAGGAAGGAACAAGGGTTTTTGCTGGTTGAGATAAGGATAGCTATACAGGGCGTTGACTCACATTGATTTCCTGTGCGTGGGTGTTACCTTCTAGGTTAATTCTTTCATTTTAAACTACTAAAGGTACATCTTCTACTTTACTACTTGAGAAAACTATTTTCAAGGTCCATTGTTTCAGTGATAGAAAAGATACTCTAGAATAATCAAGGAAAAAGGAAGATGAATCGTGGATGTGTCCACCAACTGCAAGAGAAGAAACTATAGGTAAGAAAAGCTCTGTAGAATAGAGGATCCCTAAACATAGCTGAAACTATGCATCTATATAGAGGATTCTTGGAACCAGGCTTTTAAATTTTGACTTAAATCATTATGGAAACACTCCAGAATAATATTTGATTTGAGAAAGCTCAAAGCTCTCTATACTTCATGCAACTCTGGACTCAAAACTCATCATTCTCTGACATCTTTAATGTTTAGAAAGGCATGTGATAGTTAATTTTACCTATCAACCTGACTGGGCTGAGATTGGGTTAAGAGATGTCCAGATAGCTGGTAAACATCTGTGTGTGTGTGTGTGTATGTGTGTGTGTTTCTGGAATTGATTAACATTTGAATGGGCAGACTAGCAAAGATCCTCCCTCATTGGTAAGGGTGGACATCATCTAATCCACCAAGGGCCAGAATAGAACAAAAAGGTGGAGGAAGGCTAATTCAATCTCTGCGAAAACTGGAACATCTAATTGCTCCTGCCCTAGAACACCAGAACTTCAGGTTCTCAGGCAAAACTTTGGTTTCTCTAGGATTTACAGCAGCAGCCCTATTCTTGCCCCAGTTCTCAGATTTTAGTCTCAAAATGAAACTTGCCTCATTTGCTCCTCTGGTTCTCAGGCTGTTGAATTCAGGCTGAGCCATACCAGGCTTGGCTTTGCTGGGCCTCCAGCTTGTGGACTGGATTATGAACTCAATATCAGAATAAAGTCTCTGATCATATTCTATTTGTTCTATTTTTCTGGAGAACTCTGACTAATAAATGTATCAAAGTTTCAACTACAGATAGGTAAAGACCTGTAGATCATTTCTTGAACTCAAACTGTTTTTTTTTTCATCATGGTACCTTGTATTTTTCCTTCATTATATCAGACACCAAACTGCATTTAAAGGATAGAAATATCTGCTGTTCAATGAGCTGACATGAATGAATGATTTATATTAGATGTGAAACATACTAACAACCAGTTTGTCATACTGAAACTTTCATCTGTCAAGAGGACAGTGAGAGATACAGTTAAAAAACTGTTCTTAGCAGAGGAGGGCATGTGCCAAACTGTTTTTAAGATGTATACAAAGAGGAATTTGCTCAGACAGAGGGAGAGAAGATTCTAAATCCGTATGTCCCAATAAATCTATACCACACATAGGCAAAATACATTCCATGGGCCAAACTGAGCCACTAGTTTCATTAGGTACAGCCTCGGACCTAACAAATGGTTTTCCTTTTTTTTTTTTTTTTTTAAGTTTTAAAAATGTAAGAAAGAAATGAGAATATTTAAAGGGACTGAATGTACCCATGCATTTACTATTGGGGCCTTTACAGAAAAGATTTGCAACCTCTAGTTTCCATGTCAACAGCAATAGCTTTTAAATTACAGTTTGATAAAAATTGCCTTTATATGTTCTGACTTTTAAACAATGTAAGCAGTAATGCAAATTCTTCACTGATTGGTGGTACAAACAAGTCACACATAATTTAAATGGTTCTTAGCTGGAGTCTGTTTATTGAAGATTCTCTTCCATTACTTTAACAGAGGCAATATGATATGCTCAAAACAAAACAGCTTTGTGATTAAACTCCAGGTAGGACTGCCTGGAGTCCATCTGCCAGGATTCAAGGCTGAGATGTACCTCTTGCAATGGCATAGGACTGGGCAAATCTTTTCCTATGATTCTATTTCCTCATCTGCAAATGAGTGATAATGATGGTACCTACCACATTGTGTCATTATGAGAAGTAAATGTTAATACAACAAAAGAACTTAAAACAGCATTGGTTCACAGCAAGTACTAATACGTGTTGTTCTCATTAGCTAATTCTCCCAATAGGTATTTTAGAGAATAAATACCATTGAGGATGAGAAAATGACATAAATAGCTGGATGAATTATTTTTCTTCTAAGAATTTGAAGAACTTGTAGAAATTTGCCAAGTTACCTTCCTAAAAAGACTAATGTTAAAAAAATAAATAACTAAATGTTTGGGATGGTGGTATGACTCCCTAGTAGAGTGCTTACCTAGCATGCTTAAGTCCCTGTATTAGATCCCCAGCACCACCACAACAACAAAACAAAATTAAATGTTATCCTGTTTGCATTTGCTTCAATGACTTAATAAAAATTTCATCTTATAACCACTAATTCCATATCTGCTATTGCTAACTCTGATGTTCATTTTCAGAGATTCTACTGTTAACTACAGGAAAGAAACACCTATGAAATCTAAGGTAAAGTAATAGTTTGTTCCCTTGTGTTTCTTTTACAATGAACATTATTCATTTAAGTCATAACCTACATGTAGTCTAAATTACTCTCTATTTCTATTAGAGAACAGTAAAATGTAACTTTTAAAGTGTATAGTTATTGGTCATTATATCCTGGAATTAACATTTTTTTAAAAAATCACATTCTAGTCACATACTAGCTTGAATCACTCATTTTAAGTCAAATCACATTTTAGAATCAAAGGGAAATCAAGGGGAGATTGTTTGAACAATGATACAATTCTTCAATGATATGAATTAAATATTTAAGTATTTTTATAGAAAGTAGAGGTGAACTAAAAGGTGCCAAATTTTCACTAGTTCTTACTTTTAAATAACAAAAACCAAAAAGGTGCATCAGTGAGATAACCTGATCCTAGATGATCTGCAAACTGTTTAAACTTAAATTTTATACTTGCTCATACAATTTACATAAGCTAACTAAATTTGTGCACACAATTCAATAATTCCAGCATAATGAATCTGTCCATTCTCATAAATGAAAGAGTCTTTGTTCAAATCTCCATTGAGAATTGCGAGCCTTCGTCAACTTGACCCTTCCTTCTTTTCTCTCCTGCTAGTGAACTCTTGAAGATAAAAAAGAGCAAGAGTAATGCATCCACTGGAGAATAAAGAAGAGCATCCTTCCAGCTCTTAGTACCTCAGTCTTTACAACTGAGGGCAAGGGAAGAGGGTCATCTCTGAGACAGGCTCCAGTATCTCAGTGGCTGTAATTTTTTTCCAAACTCTTCTGCTATACCTGGAATTTACTTTACTTCTGCACACAACTCTAGACTGCAGCCTCTGCCTCAATTTTTTTTTCTGCCTTTACATATTCTGCCTTTTTTCTGACAAAGTTCAGGCCTCCACTCTTTCTCATCTTTACACATTTCACCTTCTACCTTCTTATTGTTTTCCATCAATGAAATTGTATTCAAACATTTTGGTTTTCTGTGCTATCTACATAAAATGATTGGATATGTTCTTTCTAAAATGACCACAAAATGGAAATTCAGTGAAAAGTATAGAAAGAAATGAAAATTTAATAAAATAAAAACTTTGCTCCTTTGGGAGGTAAAATTTAAAAGGAAAATACTGTTTATATTAGGTGTTGATTTGGAATGAGACTCTTACACACTGTTGATGTGAGAATAAACTGTTCCCACCTCTTAGAAAGTAAATTAAAAGCCAGTGAGACCAATGGTGTAAATACCTTCTGACCCAGAAATTCACTGCTGTAATCTGCTTCACAGAAACTATGCATGAACATAAGTATATGTTCAAATATGTCCATTTTAGCATTATTTATCAAGGTACAATACTAAGAAAATAGTTAAATAAACCACAGAGTACTACATAATATATTTAACAATGGCGAATATCACCAATATAAAATTGTAAGTGAAAAGAGTAAGGTATATATAATTTTGTATTTCAAAAAAGAACTGTGTGTGTGTGCCTACATGCATATAAATGTACAGAAAACAATTTGGAAGCATATTTATTAAATTCCTAGTAGAGGCTTCTATTTTGGGATGATAGTGAATTGTTAGCAATGGATATCTAGGTAAAGGAAGCCTTTAGTTATCTGATGTTTTGCCCTATCTAATTCTGTGTTGTTTAAATATTTATTAATTTTACTATTTCAAGAGTAAAGTATTACCCTCTCCTTCAAGAGAATTAAAACACATAAAGAAAAAATGAGTAATCCTTAAGGCTTTTTGTAGCAGAAATAGCATATAGCCTGACAATATTTCGAGTGACTGATTTGACCAAAACAACCTGGAAAAATTTAAACTTTTATTGACAATGAATTTCTACACTTATACGTTTGCCC